CGTTCTTGGTCCTTTGCCAATCTTGTGGGAGACATGGATGGAGTCCCTGGCTCCTGGGCTTTTGGTCTGGCCCAGCCTGGCTTGTGTGGAGATTTTTGGTGATCGAATCAGCAGATGAAAGATTTTTGTTTTCTGTTATTCTGTCTTCCAAATAAACAGATCTTCAAAAAATAAAAGAATACTAAAGAAGATATTGATAACATGACATGACTACGTTCAAGTCTGTGTGGCCCCTTCTATACTTTGTCCACATGCAGGCATTTAAAAAGGACACGGCAGCTCCAGGCAGAGGGAGTTTCACATTTGTACAGGAGTCAACGTTTTAGTAGGAAGCTAGATGAACCGACATTCCGGGGAGGAGCCTTTCTCACCCAGGCGCTGGGGCACTGGCCTTCTCATTTTTCTCTTCTTAATTTTGGAATGAATTATCTGAGCTTGATTTATTCCCTTCCTCCTCTGCACTCAGATCTTCTCGAAAAGATCCATCCCAATCCCCACCCTGCTTTATCTTTGGCAGCTGGAATGCAATTGGAATGTGAGCGCTGGAGGAAAGTGGGTTGAACATTCAAGAACATGCTTAACTGCCTCGTTCGGTCTCCTTTCAGACAAGCCTCATCTCTTCCTGACAAAGGAAAGCATTTACCCAAACCCTGGCTCTGGAAAAGTTTCCCACTAGCAGCCTCACCCGCCATATTTTAAGCATAATTTCTTCCTTGTGAATTGTCCTTTATTAACCCTCTTGCATCTCCTGTTCCCCTACATGCACTAACTGGGAGCACTTCCACTTCAGTCACGCAGGACTTCATATGGCTGCCAGAGCCCCGTGTCCTCGGCTTGCTTGCTCCCTGTGGATATCATACCATGGGATATGGCAGAGAGGAGTGGCTAGCTTCACATTTGGCCTTTACCTCTTACTTGCTCTGTGCCTTGGCCAAACCACTTGTAAAGCATCAATAGCACTAATCCCCACTCCATGGTTGATGAGTTAGAACTTGTAAAATACTAGATTAGAACTGGAATACAGCAAGAACTCAGTTGAATATTGGCTATTGGTCAAATGTCTTACTGTTCAAGATCAGAATACATCTAAATTTTTCATAAATTCTTCCTTGACTGATTTCTCTCTGCCCGTGATAATCCCTAATTCTTTTAAAACAGCTACAGAAGGAAAGATACAGAGCATCCGGGTTCAAATATTGTCCTAGGAAGTAATATGTGACTATAAGGAACTTAAGTCTCAGTACTCTCATCTATAAAATGGAGGCTGTGACATTTCAACAGCGTTATTGTGAGGAATAAATAAGATCCCGCTTTAGATATACCTGGGCTGGGCAGAATACACAGGTCCTGACTCATAGCAGATCCTCCACAAATTCGCATGCTCCTACAAAATATTTTATTTATAGAGTTTTGCTTTTCAGATGATAAAAGAACTGTTATAAAACATTTGTGATACTCTTACACTGTTTTAGAGAAAAATAGTTCCATTGACTTTTGAGACAAAATCTCCCCAGGCCTTGTGTCTGTCTGCTTGTTTATGCCCACCACCTAATTCTGTCCCATGCGGTTCACACAGCAGCCCTGCCCATCTTTGCCAAGTGAATGGGTTCCTATCTACGACTCTCCCTCTGGAGATTAGAGCTGGGGTGTGCACTGAAGAGATCACTTCCAAATTGGGAAGGGGTTTTCCAGGCTTCTATTCCACCTCCCAGTGAGATGGGCTGGGCAGAAAGCATTAAATCACTCAGAGTTGGCTGGTGTTCAGGGGACTCAGAGAAGGGAACAGGTCCAAGAGAGAATATGAGCTGATTTTTGGGTCAAGTTCTGCAGAATGTTTGAAACTGGCTTTCCCTGCTGCCTTCTCTTTTTCCTTCATGACTGGGTGTGGGGAGGGGTGGGATCTGCTTGTACAACTCAGCAATGTAGCAAAATGAGTGGAATTTTCCAGATGGTTCCTCTTGATAGCTATTGGCACAATTGTAGCTTTGCCTGCTGGGAGCCATTAGGCCATGGCCCTGAAGACTAGACGGCTGTTTGAACAAGTTGGCTTGTGGGATCCCTGTGTTTTCATTGGCACAAAGAGCTGTGGAAGAGCTCCAGCCAGAAATACCATCTTTTATTTTTCTTGTGTGTGCTCCCTGCTAAATGCTGTGAGCAACGGTACCAAAGTGAGGAAGGTGTCACACTCTTGTCTGCCAACACACATCCACAGCAGCCCATCTTTAACACGGTGACTCAGGTGATTCCCCAGCAGCGGACACCGATTCTGAATGCGAGAACCTGCGGTAACCTGCCTCGGAACTTCAAATCGACACCTATACTGTGAAGATGAGTTGATGTTTCCTCTCTCCCATCCCTAGGGCCCTCCTCCTGGCAGGTGCTATTTCTGACTTGAGGTGAAAAGGCTGGGACTGTGGGAGCTTCCTGTGTGGTCAGGGACCTCTGTCTCCCCGTATTCCTATTTTACCAGCCCACTTGTGAATTGTTCAGCCATCTTCCCGAGACCCAGTAAACATGGTGCTGTTAGGAGGCAGGTGAGTCAAGGGGATAAACCTGGACTGATTCAAATTCTCCTCTCACCAAGAAGAGGTAGTGCGCCTCACTAGCAAGGGGCTGTCCGCTTCTCTATTCTCTGTGGCTCTCACAGAGGTTATCTTGTATTCTCCTAGCCTCAGAGCCATGAATTCTTTTACCTGTAATTACTTTTTCTCAAACCTACAGTAACTTGGCTTCGTAGTGCAGTGTCCCACCTGGCATGCAGAGGTTGGAAAATGTAACATGTTGTTTTCTAGGCTGACAGTAGGGCTTTCAGATCTTGTGCCAGATGCCTTTCCTTGAAAGTTGGATGTAGGGAGCCAAGCACCATAGCCTTGTGGCTAAAAGTCTGCCTTGTATGCGCTGGGATTCCATATGGATACTGGTTCTAATCCTGGCGGTCCCACTTCCCATCCAGCTCCCTGTTTGTGGCCTGGCAAAGCAGTGGAGGATGGCCCAAAGCCTTGGGATCCTGCCTCTGCTTGGGAGACTCAGAGGAGACTCTGGGCTCCTAGCTTTGGATTGGCTCAGCTCTGGCCGTTGCGGTCACTTGGGGAGTAAATCATCGAACAGAAGAATTTCCTCTGTCTTTCCTCCTCTCTGTACATATGACTTTCCAATAAAAATGAAATAAATCCAGAAAGAAAGAAAGAAAGAAAGAAAGAAAGAAAGAAAGAAAACTGAATGTAGGAACTAAGCAATGTGGGAAAAAGGCAGGCCACAGACATGCTTTGCTTGTGCATACAGCACCATGGTTTGAACAGGTTAGAGCTGCTGGCAACAGCAATGACTTCTCAGTTCAGCGGCAGCTGTCTGAACCAGCCATTGGTAGCCCAGCTTTGTAGAATGGACTTGGGAGTCAATCTAGAGTCAATTTCTTTGTTTACATCAACTCCCATCTTACTTTAAATATTCATGTCATAAATTCCTTTTTAAAAACTGCTTGCTGATAGTAGTCTTAACAGAATTTATCTTACCTTGTCCATGTGCAGTGATAAAGCAAAATGGTTGGAATTTTATCTTAGACTTTGTTATCATACATTTCTTTCTCCCAAATTAATTTTTTTTAATTTAGTTAGTTTTATTGAAAGTCAGATATACAGAGAGGAGGAGACACAGAAAGGAAGATCTTCCATCCAATGATTCAATCCCCAAGCAGCTGCAATGGCCAGAGCTGAGCTGCTCTGAAGCCAGAAACCAGGAGTTTCTTCTGGGTTTCCCATGTGGGCGCAGGGTCCCAAGGCTTTGGGTCAGCCTTGACTGCTTTCTCAGGCCACAAGCATGGAGCTAGATGGGAAGCAGGGCTACTGGGATTAGAACCAGTGCCCATATGGGAACCCAGCAGATGCAAGACAAGGACTTTTAGCTGCTAGACTATGGCATCAGGTCCTAAAACCTACTTTTTCTTTTAAAAAAAAACAGTTTACTCACTCACATCTGCTTGCTCATTCCCCAAATGCCAGGAAACTTAATCCAGGTCTCTCATGGCCACCATCTGCTGCTTCCCAGGGTACATGCGATCAGAAAACTGGAATGGGGAACAGAGCTGGGACTTTAACCCAGGTGCTTCAATGAGAAGCAAGTATACCAAATAGCTTTTTAACCACATTAAATACCTACCTACCTAACTCTCCTCCAGGCAGATTTTGAGTTATTCTTTTCTTTCTTGCAGTTTTCCTTGATATTGAATGACCTGACATTCAGTATCATATATATGGAAAATGTCCTCACAATCATACTGATGTGTCCAACCATGAAGTCTCCATTCAGTTGCAACACTTATATGCCATTTCATGGAATTCCGGTGAGGATACTTGAAAAAGTTCATGGAAATAGAGTTGGAAGATAAGTTTATTTTAGTACAAAAGCATGGATTTCCATCAGCCTACAGCATGTAATGCATGCACACTGAAGCTTGCAACAGGTTCAGGAAAGAACCAACATTGGTCAGAATTAAGACTTCAGTGCTGGCACTTCATTTCTGAAAAGAAAAGTTATAACTCCAAATAGAAGTCATGCCTAGCATATTTCCCGACATCTAGGAGATGATTCAATAGATGGTGATTATTCAGATGTCATACTCTACCCTTTCTACCTGGGACTGCTTCCCTTCTAGACTTTTTTTTTAATTGTTTTTTTTTTTTTAACAGAACCTTTGCCTTGAAAAATGGGTTCAGACATCTGAGGTACCCTAAGTGGCGGGTGGAGAAGCTAACTGGCTCAGCCTGTGCTTACTCAGGACACAGTTAGCATATATCCATGCAGACCCTTCTCCTAATTCCTCAAGTATTGGTCCTTCATCCTGACTCAGCAACAGGGCAGGGAGAGCCTTCTGGAGAGTGTGTTCCCACTTGACTCTTTCCTTGGTAAGAGCTTGGCTGGCTGCTGGCCTATCCAAAAAGAAGCAGGAACGAACATTTCTGAAGAAGAAAACAAAAATACTATCCCCAATTTAGATAGAACTAAAAAACAAAAAAGCACTTTATTTATGAAGGACAATAGTACGCAAACAATATAAAACTTGAAAGCTTATCTGGCATTGAATTAACTTTTCTGTTTCTGTCAAACAGGAGCTGGTTTCCATTTGGACATTTCTGCTCGTGAAATCCTTACACCGGGGTGGGGTGGTCGTTTGGGGGGTGCTTTTCCCAGGAGGGGTAACCGCCTCGTTCTGTTTACTTCTTTCCCTTCTGCTTCATGTGCATTACAAAATAGTCATTGCATGCAATGGTGAGGCCTGCGATTAGCGAGAAGAAGCTCTGGAACCCCACTTTGCCATCTCGGCACTGGTCCAGGTCCTTCATGATTTTGTCCACAGCCAGAGGGTCTTTTTGATTCTGAAAAGCAGAAAGAAAAGAGAAAAAAAAAGGTAAGACATATCAGTTGGTGGTTGTGGCAAGGAGCGCCCTGGGTTTGTGCTGCTGGCAGTCACGTAGCTCTCCTCTCCCTGGTTTGGGGGTTTGGCTGAGTCACAGGATAAGGAGCCTTTTATTTTTCTGCCTTGGAGCAGTTGGATACGTGTAACATTATTCAAGAGCCAACAAAATTATCAACTTAAAAATTAGCCTGCTGGAGAATTTTTTTTCAATTTCCAGCCCCATCCATGGTTGCCTTGGCAGGGCCAGACTAGATGATTTTGTGAGCCTTATGCAACCCAAGGGCTGGACATTCCATCTCCTGAATTAGATGCTAAGTAACCTTGAGAGGTAGTTTAAATGCTTCTTTTTTCCTTTCACCTTGAAGGGAGCGTTTTAGTAAATGAGTAATTAGATTCTGCCTGACAACTCCTTAAAGTTTCCAAGTTTTAAGTTTAAAAATTATATACTCATGTGATAATCTTGTATTCTGGAGAGCGTGGGCAACCTTTCAAAAGGAAATTCTCCACACTCTCACAGCAGATCATTGTCCTGTGGACTTTAAGGAGCAGCTGATGATGTCGCGGGATGTTTTAGTTTTGGTGAAGTTAGTCGGCTCTAGCTTTCGTCTGAGCACAGCTGATGCCAGCTAGTGTGACTTTATAGCACACGGTAACAGCATCACACGGTTTCATGGTCTGGGTATCACGTATGAATTGAGGAGGCTGGGTCAGAGTCTCTCTGGGATCACTTCCAATGCCAGAGATGGTTAAGTCTGCATATTCTTTGCTTGACGCTCTCTGTGGGAGCAGCTTCAAAAGGAACGAGTGAGGGGGTCATCAACTCCCTGTGACGCCCAGTGCCCTGTATGAATGTGCGAGCCAGCAACACCTTTATGCCTTCATCTTGTCTCCTGGTGTTTGGTTTCATCACCATGCCTTTCTGCAACGAGGCTGGTTAGATTAGGGACAGCAGTTTGCCCTATAGGATCCATGCCACCGATCAGAGAGGGCCGAACAGGCCTGTCAGGGGTTGTTCAAGGTCTTGGATGAAGGTCTTAAGAATTCCAGTGACTCGAGGTGAGGGTACTTTCAAAAGTTCACAGAAAATGTATATGAGGAAATAAAGAAAAAAAAAATAAATCCAAACTGTGCATGGTTCTCAAGAATGCTTGGACCAAAGCCAACATCTTTTAATTCCATTATCTGAGCTTTTTGAAGTGCCCTAGTATGTGAGGTTTCAAGTGTGCTGGGTATTTTTATGCCCTTTTGGCAAAGCAGCGGCACTTCCTACCCAAGGACAAACCCTGCTTCCTGCAATCAACAAAAACCTGCTCTGGGCTGCTCTGGGTGGGTTTCAGCTAATTCTGGCCTCACCCCCGGCTTCCTGGCTTCCTGGCTGTGGGCAGAGTGAGAGGGATTCGAATGACATAAGAGATCTGCTTTAGAAGCAAAGTGCTGTTATGCAGAGAGGCGCCTGCAATTATGACCCCGCACCCACGACAGAGCGCCCTGCCATGCCCAGTACTCCATGCTGGCCATACTTCTGCACCACAGAGTACACAAGGAAGGAGAGGATCTGTTGGTACGTGCCATTCATCCTGGCTTCTAATGGAGGCAAAAGCACATTAGACAAACGTGTAGTATGTCCAGAACGTCTCTGTTCGTGCCACGGGCAGGCTTCCAGTGAGTGTATTTTGTCCTTGCACTTTATGCTGGCCTTGAGGAGTCATAGGAAGTGAAAGCAACCTTGCAGATAATCACGTTCCCACCCTCTTGTTTGACAGAGGAGGGGGCGGAGTTCCAGACAGCTGGAGTTTCCCAGTGCTGGTTAGGGCACAGCAAGCCCTCTACAACGCCCTGGCCTGGTTCAACTCCTTCTGGGATAGCACTGCGGGAACTAATGCTGTTTACGCTGTTTGTAGCTGCTTAGTTCATCAATATAGATGACATGGAAGTTGTGGGGTTCTCTAAAGCCCCATGCTTACTGACAAAGGAGCTGGGGCTTGGCTCACATGCTCTTTACCAGGTAGATGTGAAGAGCCATGGCCCAGCCTTTTAGGATCCTTTAGAGGCTAATGCATTATTTAGCACCCAACACAGTTATAAACCTCTTAAGTGCAATTGTAGCAGGCAAAGAAGAGCTTGCATTTCAACCTACTCTTCTGTTAAGCAATCCTTCGCCCTGGTTGAACATTAAATAACTGACACCACGCCTTTGTAGATCAGAATGGAAAAAAAACAATATCCTTTTGTGTGAAGGCATTTTCAAAGGGAGATTCAAGCTGCTCAAAATGGACTGTGACGAGGATGTCCAACACCATGTTTCTAGACCTGAGGTGGCCACTCCTCAGTGTATTACTCTCTGGGGGACAGCTTTCCCCCAGCTCTGCCCCAACATGGCCTCAACGGGCACAGATCACTCCAGATGGAGTGATCCTCTGAGTGTCATGGTCTTCCACCTGCAGACGGCAGGCTCCTTCATGTTTATGTCCCCTAGAGTATCTTACAAATCATCGGCACTGAATACTGCTCAATAAACAAATGAATGGAAGCACTTTTCTACAAGTGAGGTTGACAGGGAAGGGAAGGAGGGATAAAAAGGGACCAGCAGCTGGAAGCGTGGAATTTTACAGCTGGTTCTTTCTGAGCCTTTGCAGACTTACTTCCAAAAACCCAGGGAACTCCTTCTCCATGAGCACTCTCAGGTCATCCTTTGTCAAGTAGCCTTTATCCCCAGCAAACTTGTGAAAGGTAAACATCATGGTTTCCATGGCATGTTCCATTTGAGATGGCATTGTGGCGAGATCTATTGATATCTGTTAAGGATGTGAAAATAATAAAAACAGAATTTGCATTAATACTTGGGTCACAGTACTGGCAGACTTGAGGCAACTGGAAGGTGGGGGATGAGCTCAAGATTCCTGAACTGGCACCAACCCACCCAGTTTTGGGCCTTCCTGGGGATGGGAAGAGGCACTGCAGGTCCTGGTGTTCTACATGAACCTTGCTGCTTGTTTAACTCTCCTTACGAAGGAGTAAAACTCTAGCCATTTAGGAAGGAAGATGAGGGTCCCTCTTAAAATTGATAGGGTCCCTACAGAAACAATAGAGAGGTCATCATTTCCCTTACCGGGATGAATGGGACTCTTAGATATGGCTGCACCCCAATAACTCATGCAAAGCCTGGATAATAGGAACGTTTCAATCCTCCAGGCTCAACTTGGTAACTTGGTTCAGTCAGAAATCTGCTTACACTTGAGTTTTCTGCTAGGTGTGTTTTCTTTATTGAAGTTCTAAACTTATTACTCATTGCAATAAAGACATTTGCCACTCTGCAGGAGAATGCAGTTGGAAGTAGATTATATAGTTCACCTGAGAAGGAACAAGTGAAGGTATATGTATATCCTAACTCCTTGGCAGCCTGGTGGCAGCCTTCTGATAGTGGTGGATGCAGGAGCTGTTTTTACAATTTGGGATGTGGTGGGAGAGCAAGAGCTTTCTGTCATGAAGCATTCATAAGAGGAGAAGAAACATACCACGTTGCTATTGACAGCTAGAAGGAACTCGGGGCACAGGTTTCCTTAGGACTCAGTGCTGGTACTGGCTGAACTTTGGTTTAATTGGAAACAATGCTTTGACCAAAACACTTTGGCCAACATCACCTAAAAGCACTGCTAGATAGAAAAGCAGTGAAGTTGGGCCAACCACTGTGACATAAGGGATGCAGTACCAGCATCGCCTATGGGCACTGGTTCCAGCCCTGGCTGCTCCACTTCTGATCCAGCTCCCTGCTAATGTGCCTGGGAAAGCAGCAGAGGACAGCCCATGTGCTTGAGTCCCTGAACCCACGGGGCAGACCTGGATGATGCCCCTGGCTTACGGCTTTAGACCAACCCAACTCTGATCGCTACAGCCATTTGAGGAGTAAACCAGAAGCACGGCTCTGTCTCTCTTTCTCTGTAACTTTGCCTTTCAAATAATAAATAAAATAAACCTTAAAAAAAAAAGTGAACTCAAATGAAGATTCTTGTAATATGCCACTCAAAGAAAACATCACAAGGGCAGGCTCTGAGCACAGTTGAAGGGGAGGCTGGCAACTGCCCCCACGGAGAGCCTTGGTCTGTTTCCTGCTGTCCACAGACACCTGCTTAATGCAAACTCGTCAGTGCTCTCTGGAACAGAGGAGAAGGTGGGGTTTGTGAACACAAGGATTAAGCAGGTATAGCTGGGAACTGTCCATCCTACCAGCATGCCAGCATGCCAGAACTCTCCTCGAGAGGCTGCTAGCAACCAGAATCGGCCATGATTCATCTGGAAGGCACTTCCCTTGGAGAGAGCTTAAAGGGACACTTCAAGGACTGCCTTGAAATGAATTTCAGCGTAATCACACCCTCCACCCTCTCCTCGCACGCCACCCAGATCTGGCTCGTCCCCTGCCATCCATATGGGTTTCAGATGGCTGAGGGCTTACAAGCAGCCGACCTTGCCAGGACTGTCTCTGAAGCCCAGCAGCTTAAGAGAACTGAAGTGAACTGACACATCCAAAGGGGAAAGACTAGGGTCCCACCCCAGCTCTTCAGTAACTCTGGGAAACAGACACCACAGAGCTTTCAAAATCCCAGTACCCAAGCTCAGAGCAGCAGGTCACGTCTTGACTAACTCCCAGAGATCGCAGAAACTGAGCCTGGGTGGGACAGCTTGGTCGTTTTTTTGTTTTGTTTTGTTTTGTTTTTTGTTTTTGCAGGCCAGAGCAGAAGGACTGTGCTGCAAAGCCAGAGAGATAAGCGGAAATGCAACAGGATATGGACCCCCACAAACAGGATGAAATTCATGTAGAGCTTTCTATGAACTTTTTGAGGACTGCTTGATGCATTGATTTCAAACAATTTAGCACCAGAATTCTCTTTTATTTTTAAAAATAAATGTTGGGCCCGGTGTGATAGCCTAGTAGCTAACTACTGGCCTTGCATGTGTCAGGATCCCATATGGACTCTGGTTCATGTTCCAGCTACTCCACTTCCCATCCAGCTCCCTGCTTGTAGCCTGAGAAAGCAGTGTGAGGACGGCCCAAAGCCTTGGGGACCCTGTACCTGTGTGGGAGATCTGGAAGAAGCTCCTGGCTGCCGATTGGCTCAGCTCCCACTTTTGCGGCCACTTGGGGAATGAACCAGTTGGATGAAAGATCTTTCTGTTTCTCCTTCTCTCTGTAAATCTGACTTTCCAATTAAAAAAAAGAAACAAATATATATATTTTTTCTTTTTCAACTGTGCCTCCAGACAGGCTCCAGAGAGGAGGGGCGGCCTTATCCCTGGGTTTCATGGAGGAGTCTCTCTACCCTCCTGTGTTGGGCTCATGCCACACCGCGTCAGTGGCACAAGGGCCTAGGAAAGGGCAAAATCTTTTCAAAAAGTTAAGAAATTTATGAGAGGGAGAGAGAAAAATCATTGATTGCAAGAGAGTTCCCATCTGCTGGTTCACTCCCCAAATGCCTGCAGACTAGGGATGTCCTCTGCCACGTCAGGAACCAGCGCCCAAAGGCACGGACTGGGCTATATGGAAGGAACTGTGCACACCGGTCTTGCACAAAGATGAAGAAGAATGGAAATGCTGCAATGGAATCCCTGCTCTCTTGGCTGGAGGTTGAACCACATAGTTCTCTGGGTACAGTGATTGCCTTTCCAGGGCGGGACTGGCAGGGCTGACTGCAGCCTGAAGACTGGCTCCCGAAGCCAGCAGTTGTTGAGGAACTGGCATCTGGCACTGCCCGCTCCACACGCTCTGCCTCCAGCAGGGGGAGGTCTCCTGTTCCCTGGCTGGACACACTTGTATGTGAGGGTCCTGAGGCTGGGATCTCCTTCTGTCCTGCGCCCTCTGCTCTGGCACCTGAAACATTCAGGTGTTTTTAACTGTTTGCCTTCTTGGACTTCAGCCTCTCTCAGACAAGAACTGCGGGTTCTTCTGCCTTTGCCCCTGGACCACTAGGTAACTGTTGTATGAGTGAACCAATCAAGCAATGCCCTTGGCAGGAGCTGAGGGGTAGGGGAGCCTGGCCAAGCACCAGGGGCTAGTTAAATACCCCTTTATTCTGAGCTCAGCAGGAATGCAGGAAAGCTGGAGAGGGCCAGGAAAGGGCCCCAAATGGGTCTGCTGTGTACAGAATACAGAGGGGAGCACATTCCATTGGCCAAGGAAAAAATATGTGTCCTGCCAAGCAAGTCTGGCCAGCCTCTGCAAGCCTCCCCTCCGTGTCTCAGGCTTGTTGTTCTCCCTACTTTCCATACATCCCCTTTTCACCTCCATGGGTCTCTAGCCCTGCTCTCTCACTGTTGGCAATCTGGTGATCTCACCATCCACTTCTGATTCATTTCATTCTCATGCCAGGACTCTCGGTCTCCAGGTCTACCTGAAGAACAGGCTTTAGGAGGGGACACATGGAAGTCCACCGGCTTTCTTTGTGTCATTTCTCTGCATGCAAAACAATTGTGGACTTGACACATTCAGTTCTTTTGGCAGCAATTCCATTTTCCAGTTTGGGTTCTACACGAAGCACCTACCTCGCAAGTGTTGACTCTGGTGCCAGGCAGGTGGAACCCGCCATTGCTGGGCCCCGTAACTGTGCTGGCCTTTGGAAGGTTCACATGCTATAGGAACGCTATTATTTAATCTCCTGAAGTCTAGTTATTTGCTTTTCTGTCCTCACTAGATGGTGGGCTTCCTGAGAAGGGTCTCCACAGCCAGGGCAGCTCTCCGATGCTCAGCAAGTAAGAATGTAATTCAGAGAAGCAGGGGCCTCCTTAGAAAATGTCTGCTGTGAGCAGTCCCAGCTGCTGGCTCCGGACCTCGTTTCAAAGAGGGCTCTTCTAAAGGGCAGGAGGCCTGGCCTGCTCTGCTCTTCTGCAGCTCATCCACGCTGCAGTTTTCTCACAGCCCACCCAGAAAATCCCTGGCAAGATGTCCATGAAAACAAACAGCTGCTAGGCAAGATGTGTGTGAGGTGTCTTCCCTTTTGCTTTAGGGATTAACCGAAACCCAGAAAGGCTTTTTGAGTTTGAATCCTAAGGAGAATCAGGAATTAAAAAAAAAAAAAAAAAAGTCGTGGCAACACATCCTGGACCTAGGCTGTTTACCACCTCTCGCTAAAGGATACCTGCTCTTTAAAGAGCTGGGCAGCAAAGTTTCCATGCAGTTCAGTGCGGACAAAGAACTCAGAAATCTCTTCTTTGCCAGCCTAGTATACCCATTTTTCCTTGAAGAACAATCAGCACACGAGTCTAAATCATCCAACAGTAGCTGCTGTGGACACAGCTTTGGTGAGGGGCAAGTTGTTAGGCACACCAGGTAACCTGCTGCCTGGGACACCCACAGCCATATGTGAATGCTGGCTTCTCTGCTTCTGATCCAGCTTCCTGCTCACAGGCCTGCGTGGTCCGGGTGTTTCTGTCCCACTTCCCACGTGGGAAACCTTGCTGGAGCTCCTGGCTCCTGGCTTCAGCCTGGCCCAGCCCTGGTGTATTGCAACCACTGGGCAAATGAACTTCTGCATAGAATCTCTCTGTATCTCCCACCTTCTCTCTGTTATTTTGCTTTCCAAATAATGTAAATAAATCTTAAAGAAAATCCTCTGGGGGCGGGGGAAGCTGGTGATAGTAATTTAGTAAAGAGATAAAGGAAGTGCTGAAAATAATTAAAATCACTGTTTTTTTTTTTTTTTTTTTGGCTTTTGCTGTGATAGTCCTAACTTGTTCAGTCTCCAGGAAAAATGAGAAATGCAAGAGCCTAAATTTTTTGCTCGGCTTCCCTTTGCACTCTGAATGCTAATGTACACATCATAACCCTGAAAGGATTCCAGTGTTTCTCTCCACGTTATGCTTTAAAACAGAGGCCCGTGTCCAAAGGCTCTAAAGACGTCCCAGTGTTTGGAACTGTCAGTGGAAAGGAGGGTGGCACCCCGCCCAAGGCCTGACCTCACTGGGGTGGCCGTTCAGAAACTGGCCAGACCTGGAAAGAGGGATCCTCTTAGGTTGCACGCAGGGAAAGATGGCAGGGCATCATCTGGAAGCTCCAATGAGTGAAAATTGGAAACGTTAAAATAAGACATTAATGGCAATCAAGGACCCCATAAAGCAACTATGCCGTGGCTGTCAGGGACACACACACCACTGAGAGGGTTCCATCGCAAAGACAAACCCGATAGAAATCTGTGGGGGCAGGGCCACGGTGGAAAGTTCTATGAGCTCTTTCCCTGCCCCAACCCCAGGCGTTATCTTTTGCCACTTGGAGGCAAAGATCACCAACCGTGAAAGGCTGGCCTCACCTAAGTACAAGATAGAAAAAAAAAAAATCCATTCCTGAAGGCTCCCAGGGCAAAAATTCTGCAACAACTGCAAACCTCCTAACGGGGCAAGGCTGCTTCCCAAGAAAGGTGGGGGCGGGATGCCAGGCAGCCCTCAGGTGATAAGCACAGCAGCAGTCTGCAGGTGGCTCTGCCCATCTAATTGCTGCCCTCCTCTGCAGTTGAGTCAAGAACCCCCCTCCTCCGGAGCGGGGGGTGGGGTGAGTCACTTCCTTTTGGAAAATGCCCTCTAAGATGGCACAGTTCCCCTTCTCTTTCACGAAGTGCTGGGTCCAGAGAGTATCCGCCAGGGCAGGGCCACACCCGCGCGGCCTCACCGCTGAGTCACCGGCCTCAGTCCCTAGGAGAATCCTGCATGGGGTTTGCGGAGCCGACTCCACCCAGAAGAGCGCATGCTTCCCGCTCCTCTGGAGGGGGGTGAGTTGGGAAGGGGTGCGAATCTTGCAGCGCAGAGCGGGTCTGGGCTGCTCTGCTTCTCCTGCCCTCTTCCCCTTTACCCAGCAAGGCAGAGTTTCTGGTTTGTTTGGCAGGGCATGGGTATGAGCAGTCTGGTCAGGGTGCGGCTGTGAGCCAAGAACCAACAGTAATACCGTCCTCTAGCCAACGGGACCCCAGTTAATCTGGGAGTGGGGGAATCCTTCCTCCAGCCTGTTAGGCCCCCATCTCTTTCTGGTTCCACCTCCTTAATGAAGATGGCAAGAAGGGAACTCCTTCGGCTGAGAATCACTTCACAGAGCCTTCCCCACCCGCCCCCAGCTCCCCAGCAAAACTAATTTGTAAAGGAAACACACCCTAGTCCCTCCCTCCGCTGGACGACCCTTCCCAGGGAGTTGGCTAACAGGAAGGCCAGCCCGCAGTGCAGGCGGAGGGCCTGAGGGGTATCCCCTCAGGAAGGGAATCCTGCAGCTGCCAGGCGGAGCAGCCCGCCCCAGACCGCCGCGAGGGGGGTGCAAACATCTGGAAGGAGGTCCACTTGCAGCTTAAACCCACACGGAAACTTACCAGCCAGGACAGGACAGCAGTGCGGGGCTAACTCGGGAGACTAGTGGAGAAGTATGTAAAGTGGGAGGAGAGAAGGGCAAACAGATGGGGAGAGATCAGAGGTCTGGGGCATCCAGTGCCCCCTACCCCGTCAAGCGTGTAGGGTCTGGGGGCCGCCACGCCCGCGCCGGGGAGGGGCGCAGCTGGCCTCGCCTGGGTGTGGCCGGCGGCCGAGCGCAGGACAGCCGATGCCACCCGCGCCCCCAACCCCGACCCCGCGCAGGTCCTGCGGTGCCGGGATGCCCCAGCCCCCATGCCCACCCCTCCAGGCCAGCGCCGCCGCCTGGTGGGGGGCTTCCCCGGGAGGGGCGGGCGCACGGGCCCGAGCGGGACTCACCTTGGCCGGGAGGCGCGGCAGGGACGCTGGACGAGCTGGGACGCGGGCGATGAGCAGAGCCGCAGGCTGTGCGCCTTTGTACGTGGGCCGGGCGCCGGGAGGGGAGGAGACGCGGGCTCGCGCGCGGGCGGGAGGCGCCTGGGCTGGCGGTAGGATGTCTCCTCCTTCTCTTCCTGCCCCACCTCCCGCGCCACTCACCCACCGCGAGCACACGCACACCGCTCGGCACGCACACACCCCCTCTGCTAGCTCAGCGCCCAGCCTCGCCCCGGCCTCCCCGCCCGCAGGGCTTTCGCGTAAACTAGGGTTCCCAAGAAGGAATGCGCCTACTCCTGGAGTATTTCAGGACAGCCACACCCTGAGCCCTGCCCTTCCTCTCGGGGTTGGTTTTAGATGGGGGTGAGTGTTAATCAAAGAATCCAGCCCCGCTGCTGCAGGTGGGGCTCGCGGGCCCCGTCCCGGAGCGAACCTGCAGGTGCGGGAGGAAGGACTCCGAGCGCTGATGGACGCCGCGGCGCTCGGACCTGGCTGGCCTGAGGTCGGAGCTCTCGGAGCTGCCTGCAGCGCCTGCCCTTCAGTCACGGGAGGCACGGTGCTGTTGGGCACCGTCAGCTGGAGAGAAGGCGCTGCAGCCCTTTGCTGTTGGGCGAGGGGTTTACTCCTCCAGGGTGTGTGGTTTGCCCTGTGGAATAGTTCAGTTTCGGTCATGGTTGCTATTGCCGCAACCCCCGTTTCCCAGCCTCCTTGTGTGAGCAGTGAGTGCTTGGCGTCAAATTCCCTACATCATCCTTTTTGCTCCGAGATCAGGGTTTGTTTGGCCCCAGAAGTTCTATAGGAGAAGTTTCTGGAAGTTATCTAGAGAACTCCGAAGTGTTTCCTAGCAGTGACACCGCCTCCTCCACCCCAGCCCTCTTAATTTTATTTGTGGTTGAGGGTTAAAGGCAAATTCCTAGCAGCTGTCTGCGGAGAAAAGCTCAGGCTCCAACCCTAGGGTTTTCCTCTGTTCCCAGGGGAGGTTCTGGGAGGCGTGAGTGATCGCAAAGGAATGAGCAGGCTCGGGGATTCCTCCAAGTGCCACCACGTGACTCTTGGCTGCAGTCGGGAAAACCCAACTGGTTTCCAACCCTCAGTTCCGGCCACCCTGGCGCTGACTCCTCAAGGGGGCAGTTCCGTGAGGTCCTCCCAAATGGTGCTTCCCAGGCCCCAGGTTACAGCCAGGGAGGAAAGCCAGGGTCTCTCTGTCCCTGAATTTAGAATGAGAAGGTCGGGCCCAGCGCAATAGCTTAGTGGTGAAATCCTCACCTTGCATGTGCTGGCAGCCCATATGGGTTCGTATCCCGGCTGCCCTACTTCCCTTCCAGCTCCCTGCTTGTGGCCTGGGAAAGCAGTCAAGGACGGCCCAAACCTTGGGACTCTGCACCCGTGTGGAAGACCCGGAAGAAGTTCCAGTATCCTGTCTTCAGATCAGCTCAGCTCCAACTCTTGCAGCCACGTGGGGGAGTGAGTCAGCAAATGGAAGATCTCTCTGTATATCTGCCTTTCCAATAAAAATAAATAATTTTTTTTAAAAAAGAAAGAATGAGAATGTCTAGGTTCATTTGATATCTTCATCTGGGCTACAGAGCTTTGGGAGAGCATCATAGGCTGTGTGAGAGCCTCAGCTGTCCGTCAGTCTGCCCTGGAAGGGCTGTCAGTCCACAAGCAGATAGTTAAAATCCAGGGTGAGCTGCAAGTGGCAGAGGAGACAATACAGATGGGGGAGCACTGAGGGGCCTCCCAGACGCCCCTAACTGATGGCAGAATCATTTATGGAAAAGATGCAAAAATGAAAAAAAAAAAAACTTGTGACTTTGACCTATAATGATCTTGTTTTAGAAAGAAAACAAAAATGATCGGTTTTAGAAAGAAAATAAAAATATTTACAAATCCATGAACCAAAGAGGAACATTTCCCTGTATTTCTCTCTAGTCTTTGAAAATGCAAGGTATTTCCATAACTGTAATTTCTTATAAAATGACTCAATTACTATCTTTGCTACTTTTATGTCATTCGATATTTGTTAAGTGCATGAGTGTTCATTTATGCCTTTGTTCTCTCTCATTTTAGGAACTGCTGAGAGGACTGCAGTTTCTCCCTTCTCCTGTTGCCATCAGGGCTACTTTGAGGGGGCCAGTGGATGCAGGCCCCCCGGGAGCTGGTTCTGACCTGCTGAGTGCTGGGACCACCATGGTGAGGATGGTCAGTGACGTAGACCCTCTCCCTGCCTCCCGTAGCTTCTTCACCACTGTCTGCACTGGCAGGTCCATAAAGCTCCATGTACCTGCTGTGCCTGCAATCTCTCTGGGAAAAGTACTTGTAGGCCAGTCTGTCTCCTGACAGCGGTGCACCTGGTTAACCGTGTGTACAGTGAGAGCAGTGTCCCTCCCTGATGAGAACTCCCTGGATCAAGGACCTGCACTTGAGCCAGAGCTGCTCCTCCAGGGCTCCATTGTGGCCAGAAGTGAAGGGGAGATGCATAGAGAGAAGCAGAGTGGCCATCCCATCCAGGGATGTGGGTCTCTGTGCCTTGATCTTTACCCCAGGTGCTTGCCCCCCAGTGGCTAGACTTCAAAGTGGAGGCTTACCTTTAGTGCATAAATGAGAACTGGATCATGTGTGTGGGCTGCCCATGTAGAGACACCTGTCCTGAGTGGGCCAGAGAGTTGCCTCTGAGGAGAGGAAGCTGAAGGGTGCCTGATCATGGTCAAGGGCAAAGGAAGGCCTCTCCCATGCTCTGTATCTTATGACGCAGGAGTTGATGCCTAAACTGAATAAACAAATGGGGTGAGGGCTTAGCATCTGTGGAGCTTTCTGGAGTTTTTATGGGCCTCAGCGTGGAACCTGTGCATGGTCATTGTGATGTCTCCTCCTTCCTGGTCCCAGAGGAGACACAGAGGTATCCTGGCAAAGGAAGTGCATTTATTTGATCGACAGGGGAGGGCAGGCAGTTCCAGCTTCCCCAGCTAACTCCCTGACCTGTTTCCCCATGTCAAGAGGGCTGAGAATGGACGCTTTAGTAAGTGTGGGCTCTGGAATGAAGAGGGAGCAATGGTCAAGCTCTCTACCGGACCCAAGGTATGTTTCAGTGCACAAAATCCTGGGAGCAGAAGAGATTGTTCTACTGCTGAAGCAATGCTGGATATTTTTTCCTGCTTTTTGCTGTGGCATAATGATGAAACCCTATTACCCAGTGGTCCCCCGTTCTGTGGGGTTTGTGGCTGTAGCAAAGAGCAGTGGTTGGCTAGGATGACGTTCCTGGCACCTCTAAGCACTTAGCTAGTGCTGTGTGACTAGTGACCAGCAGAACAGCATTGTAAGTCAAGGGTGTCACTTGCAGGCCAAGTTAGCCTGGAGCAATTTGCCCCTATTCTTTCTCTCCAACTGCAAAGACTTGGGATCCAGGAATGCAAGGGCCCCTGTGGGAAGGAGCCTGGTTCCCTGAACCACCCAAGTTGGGGGAAGAAAACCATTTCCTGAGCAAGAATACTCTGGCTGAAGTTCCACAGGGAGAGAGAACCTTGAGCTTGCAGCATAACCCTGATGAACGTATGGCATTCTTTGAGTACTGGTATTTTTAGCAGCCCATTCAGAAGAATTAATTTGTATGTATAGAAACTATACTTGGGTCCAGTGGTTAAATCTTTACCTTGCATGTGCCAGGATCCCATATGGGCTCTGGTTTATGTCCAGGCTGCTCCACTTCCCATCCAGCTCTCTGTCTGTGGCCTGGGAAAACAATAAAGGACAGCCCAAAGTCTTGGGTCCCTGAACCCACGTGGGAGACACGGAAGAGGCTCCTGGCTCCTGGCTTTGGATCAGCACAGCTCCGGCCGATGCGGCCACTTGAGGAGTGAATCATTGGATGAAAGATCTTTCTTTCTGTCTCTCCTTCTCTCTGTGAATCTGACTTTTCAGTAAAAATAAAATAAATCTCTAAAAAAGCTACACTATTGGCACAGGTGTTTATCTAGCAGTCCATCTGTCTGCTAGGACACTCACATACTGTATAAGAGGGCTGGTTCAGTGTCTGACTCCAGCTTCCTGCTAAGGCAGATGCACCCCGGGAGGCAGCAGTGTGACTTAGGTGACGAGGACGTTGCCACCCAGGTAGGAGACCTGGATCGCGTGCCTAGCTCCTGGTTTTGGCATGGCCCAGCCCTGGTGATTATGGACATTTGAAGAATGAACCAGAAGATTGGAGCTCTTTCTCTCTTAAAGAACTAATCTTATAAATTAATGGGGAAATAAAAAGGAAACACATTAGGGTACTGATGGCTTTGAGCCTGTTTAATACAGAGCCTTTCACTGCTCTTAGGACCGTGAGGCAAAGTGCTCCTGGGGCTGGCAAGTACGTAGTTTCTCTGTTCCCTCCCCGGGTCAGACTGTGCCCTGTGTCAGCAGAGACCCATACAGCATTGCTCAGCATCCTGGGCGCCCTGCTGGCAGCAGTGTGAGTCAAGCCTGTGTACAGGGCCCAGGAAGCAGTTACCACTGTCCTCTGCTTTCCTCCGTGGAGGACCGCTCATTCACAATGGTGAGGTCAGAAAGCTCTGCTGGCCATTCTGGAAGGAAAAGGAGGGCAGGGCAGGGAGTCCACAGTCGGCTCTGCCAGTATACCCTGCATTAGAAGATACTAGAATTTTAAAAAATGTGTCCCTTATGGCTAAAGCATTTAGGCTGTTGGTAAATTTTTTTCCTACTGTCACAAATAATTATGTCAAAGGATGACTTTTGAATAAGCAACTTTGCGCACGTTTTTAATTTTTTTGGATGGATTCTTAGAAAGAGGAGATCTTATTTGTTTATAAGAATTTTACAGGACCCGAGGGATAAGCCACAGTCCATGAGGGCAGGCAGGAGGTGAAACCAGAACCGGGAGCAGTTGTCTCCAGTTGTGCATGGGGAGGGACAATGTCCCTCGAAAGCCTGGCTCTTCATGCGAGGCACTTTGGAACTTACTTTTGAGATAACCAGGAGTTAGACGCAACAGGGAGAGTGCAAATCTCCCAGTTACAGCTGTGTACCTCTTAGCAAATCATTTCCGCCTCTGAACTAAAGTCTCCTTGTGGGCAGGGC